CTAAAATTGACAGTATTGTCTACTGCTTGTTTCTGTGTCATGCACACTGCTTCTATATATGTTTATGTATATGAACACGTGCAGTTTGCACAATGTCCTTTCCCTATGCTCCCATGCCTAGTTTCTCCATGTTTGAAGAACTTGGAAGAATTGAAGATAGAAGAACACAGATGAAGCACAAGGTGGTGAGTAGTATCAAAGTGCAGGCTTGAGAAAAGCAGAGCATATGGAGTCTTATTTTATGTATTGTTTTAATCAGTGCTTTGCTTAGTGAATACCAACAACCATTTTATATTTACATTTTGTAAAGAGAGTAAATAAAATAAAATTGCCAGTAATGTTTAATATCAATGTGATGAGGTAGATTGTGTTAATATGTTAAATGTATTGCTTACCAGATAGTAGTACTATACTTATGGCTCTAATATCAACAGACAGAGCTGATGCCTGCTTTCCTCAAGACTGTCTTTTTAAATTTCAATATTAATTTTCAAGGTGCCTACTTACAGGCACCTGAATATGTTTTTGTATTTAAATGCTTGTGTCTTTATTTTATTTTTCAGACAAATTGCAGCTGTTAAATCACCCAAACAAATGAAAGCAGCAGAACTGAATCTGAGAGAGGTGATCCAGATGACAGTTCTCAGAAATGTGTCATTTTCTTTTCAGAATATTTTCATTGAGCAGACTAGTTTCTTCTTTTTGTGTATACACACTCTGATCTGTCTTAATCTTCTACAGTGAAACTGGAAGAAATCTGGTGGTATGCATATTAAGATATAAAACTAGCTGCTCAAATTGAGAGCTTTAAATTATCCTGGAAACTCTTTTCTTTTTCATGTACATAATGTAGAACATACAGGCGCTACTTCTACATGAATGGCACTACTGGAGAATCTCAGTGGGAATACCCAGATGTCAGTAAAGATCAGAAGCCAGTGGAGACACCTAGTGAGCTACCTTCATCCACAGAAGTAGACGATAATGATACAGAAGAAGAGGAGAGTTTGCATCCTGAGAAATCTCAAGTTTTTGAAGTTTCATCTTCTTCTGTAAGTCTTCAATTTTTTAAAATGTTTTTTATATTTCATTTTTCCATGTACAAATTAAGAGAAATAGGCTCTTTTTTGAAAAGTTTTCTATATTTCATTTATTTTATATAAAAATTAAGAGAAATAAGCTATGGCAGGGTTAGTTTTTTCAAAAAAATAAATTGCCGAAATATGTGAATGCCTTTAGAGTTTTAAAGTTGATTGTGTAATAGAAATTGGATGTTATATTATTTCATGAGAAAAATTGGGTCAAGGTTACAGATTGATTTACAAATCAATCAGTTTCTTTAAGTCTTCATGTATTTTGTCCAGGCTGAACAAATTGATTCTGCACCTTATCCAGCTGGTGTTGGGAGTGCCTTGGCAAGTAAGTACACTGAAAATAATATTAAGCAAGGTAAATATATGAACATGTATGACCAATTGTTAGTTTAGAAATATATTTTTGTTTGAATTGTGATTTGAAATGAGATATCTTATTTGATATGAAGGATTTATCAAAGCATATTTTTCTATTAATTACAGGGCTTCGGGCAACATATGATGTTTCCCAAGTTGATGGGGATGAAGATAAGATGGATTCATCCACCAATCCAGAAGCACTACCACCCCTTTCCTCTGGCACAGAAGATCCTAGCCCCCCATCTTTTTACACTTCTGCACCACCTCCACCACCCCCTGATCAATCAGATGCCCAACCACCACCCCCTCCTCCACCCAGCTCCAGCCCCCCACCTCCACCTCCTCTGAGTTCAAGCCCTCCACCCCCACCCCCTCCACCTGCCAGCTCAAGTCCACCCCCTCCTCCCCCTTCAGCCAGCAATAATCCCCCTCCTCCTCCTCCCCCAGAAGGTTCATATACCCCTCCACCTCCCCCTCTCTCAAACTCAAGTTATCCACAGTTGTACAGTTCAGGTGCTCCACCCCCTCCGCCTAGTGTACTTCTACCGCCACCCCCTCCCCCTCCACCTGAATCTTCAGGTACAGTAGATATGGATGTTGATACAGACAGCCAGGACGTAGACCAGCTTTATGAGCCAGACCATCCAACTTCTTCAGATTATGACAATTTTTATCAAACAATGACTACACAAGATAATAAAGCTGGTGTCATGGCAGATTCAGGTCTTGTGACTGGCTCCACTGGGACAGACAGCAATGGAAGTGTCATCATAGCAAGGCCTCCCCAGCCTACAATCCCTCCTGGAGTTATAGCTAATCAGTCACAGATATTTCAAGCTACCACTATGTCTGGAGAAGCATGGAATACCCAGTATACTAGTGGACAGTTTAGTGCTATGTCTCAACCCACTGTGGGGAAATCAGTGCAGGCATCTGCTCCACAGACAGTTATGACGTCGACAGAAACTCCACAAGAAATTCAGCATAGCAATACAGCAACAAGTAGTTCTGCTACACATAAGCATGGGAAAGGGGAAAAGAAGAAAAAGAAAAAGGACAAAGTGAGTATATAAACTGAAAGTCATGCAAAGATAGTGGGAAAATCTTGGGTAGTTTGCCTCAGAAGAAATTTTTATTGTATGTTAGTGCATGGTACTTCAAAAAAAAATTTTTTTTTTTTTTTTTTGCAGTCTCCATTGATTTCACATACGCTTTCAATTGTTATTTCTCTTAAAACCATTGCTTTAAACCCCAGACATGAATATAAGTCAAAGGTACTTTAAGCCTTTGATTTTTTAAGTTGTGTTTTCCTAATGCCGAAATCACCATGAAAACTTAATTTTCATTTTCAGGGTCTGCTCCCAACAGGGTTGTCTATGAAGAAGAAAAATGTGTCCTCAATGGTACAAAAATGGCAAAATGTACAAAAAGAGGTTGAAATTCAAGCAGCTAAAGAAGCCCAGGAAGAAGAAAGGAAGAAAAGAGATGCTTTACTGTACAGTGAGAGGAGGTCAGAGGAGATAAGGCTAGAGTGAGTACGGTTTTAGTTATGAACTGTCTACTGAATGCAGTGTAGCTTTTTACATGTCTACCTTCTGTGAAACATTATGTATCAATGAGCGTCATCAGTTAATAATACACACTCTCTCTCTCTCTTTCTCTCTTTTTAATGTCCTTGTGGTCACCAAGATATTGGTCATCTATCTAGACCTGTGTCAGTTTATACATATGGTATTTGTGAAATTTTTGTAGTCTTTGCATATCTTCAACCCTAGTTTTGAGTTTGTTGGCTACAATTTGATATGGTTTTTATTTTCTTCAAGGGATGTGAAACAGAAATACTGAAAGTAAAGAACACATCAGAGAAGTCCAATCCCAAAGTCAATCACCTGAAGAAAATTCTGCATCTGAAGCTTAAGTATGTCTGCCAATGATGGTAAAAAAAAAAAATTCAAAATCGCTTTCAAGAAGGACAGCAATACAGCATAATATGCGTACTGATTCTAAGATTAGTTAATAGCAGCTAAGTTGATAGCAGGGAATTTAATTTATAGGACATGGCCTTAATTTTGATATCATCAAATTACTACTCTGCAGCCAGAGTCACCATCCACATGACAAGATTTACGGTGACAGAACATTGCTTTGGAACATTTTGAATATTATTTGATGGTCTTGATAAATAACAGCAGTTGCATTGAGTGACTGATGTAAGTGGTACCTGTAATGTCCACATCAATAAAACTATTATTATTATAAACTTTTCATGTTGTTTGCTTATTTGACTCTGTTTAAAATACCTGTAAGGGTAAACTATTGTCTACTGGGAGAGAATGATAAGACCAATAATAAATACATAGAATATTTATTTACAAATATACAGGCTGAGAAAATCGTTCACATGATCTATTTCATAAATTTTACAGAAGTGCTAATAGTCTCATGATAAATGTCTGAGAACTTCTTCATGCCAATAAATGTCCTAATTGTTCCTTTCCCTGTCAAAATTACTGTAAAATATTAGCTTTAAGTCTCATCTTGCTATAAAAAGGCTGTCAATATAAGAATAGGTAGTTCTTTAGGGTTTCCACGTGATCACTTTTACAGCAATGTTTGCATGTTTCACAACTGCAGGAATAGCATCATTTGTCCTCTTCCGGATCTGAAATGCCAATCAATCTCATTTATACACCATAAATACAGAAAAAAGGTACATTTCAAGTTTACATCCATGGGAAAGTTTCAGGATTGGAAGACTTTACATAAATTGTGGCAAGTAACTTTTTAAGAAATGACTTAATTGCCTAATTATATTATAATTTGTTTTTGAACATGTCAACATGATTCTTTAAAACTCACATTTCTACATAGTTGAATTAACCATGAAAATCATCAATATTCAGGCTGACTACAAGTTCTGCGTGCAATTTTTTTTTATTTTCATGGTCATTTTAGTCATCATAAAACTTTTACCTGATCAATGTGATTCAAAAGCTCCTGTCTGCCTTCTGGAGCTTCAGCTAAGCATGTGATTGCCTAGAAGATTACAAGATATTTTTCTAACAATTCAAAATTGTTAAACATGATCGGTGTTTTGTCTCGTTTAAATTCTCTTAAGTTATCAACTGAATTATGTGCAACATTTTGCGTTATTTACAAATTTATGATCCCACAAAAGAAATAAAGTTGTCACATAAAAAAATGTTTTTAAAACTTGACAGAAATATTCTCAGTACTTTTGGAAAACTGATGTGTTATTGTGGCAGACTAAGATATGACTTACCTTGAGGGCATTTGCTCTAACTTCACTATTTTCATCATCAACCAGTTTGACCAAGGGCTCAATGGCATTGCAGTTCAATGCTGTGTATTTCCCCTTAGTAGTGATGGTTATACTGTCAAGAGAGAACATTTTCCATATTATAAATTGTGTGGTCAATTAATGGGAATTAATTTTCTCTTTGAATAAGTTGTGCACTTTCTAATGCAAGAGAGACGGAAACATGTTCTTTAACATTTATATCATTTCAAGGTTATGACATTGTTTTTCCTAGTATTGTTTCTCTCTCTCTCACTCACTCTCTCTCTCTCATTTTTTTCTTGAAAGAAAACTTGTGTGTATGTAACAAGCTGAAGCTGTAACAATAACAGTTGTACAATACTTACGTCATTATTGCACCTGCAGCACTGGCTCTCACATCAGCATCAGAATCTTTCAGAAGCTCAACCAGTGAAGCCACAGATCCAACCTCGACTGCCTTGTTTTTGCCATCAAGGGGAACACTGAAAGAATCAATAGATACAATACATATATTTTTTGTCCTCTTGTGATATAAAAAAATGATTTCATCTGCATTATTTTGGTTTCTGTGACTCTCATTCTCTGTCTGGAAATTGTGTTTTATCTTACAGTTAAAAACGAATGGTTTTAAAATGGGGTTTGACAAGAAACAAGAAATCATGTCAAAAGAAACAAAGATATTTTTTCTTTTTTAAATAATATATTAAATCTTGCCTTAGATCCATGATATCCCTAGCTGCCTTAGCCCTAATAACAGGTGTCCCATGTTGCAGATGGTTTGTAAACACCTGCATGGCCTCTGCCCTCAAAGCATGTGCAGTGTCCACACGCATACAGAAGTGCAATGTGTCTAGGATAAGTTCCTGGCAAGATAAAGGTTTGAGCATATCTATAACAATGGCATATAAAAAACTTTGCTTTACAGAATTGCCTCATGAGCAAATCAGTGTTCTTTTCAACACAATTACTTTATGTGTAAAAGACTTAATGGTACAAAAAAAAAAGGTTCTGTTTTTTTAAGGGAGAGACAATTTTTTCACATTTAAAGTTATGAAATAAAATATCTTACCTTGATTTCATCATGTTCTGTTTTTAGCTTTTCTACAAGCACTGGAACTAAATTTGCTTCCACAATACCTTCAGCACCTTAAATATGTTGACATAACAATAATATTCATTTTTGCAACACAAAATGTAGTGACTGTTCTTAGTGCCAAAATGTAACTTTTCCATATTTAACTTTCAGTCATGTTTTTAAAGGGACAGCTACAGAAAATGTGAATGATAGTTATATTTTAGAAAAAGCATAACATGTAATACAATCAATAACAATCTTACCTGTCATTGTTTCTGACACCATTTCCATTGCTTTGTGTGCATTTTTTCTTACAATATCTTCTTTGTCAGCAAAAAGTTTTGATAATGGAATGATGATGTTTTGGTCCAAAAATGCTTCTCTCCCAACTGCATAACCTAATGATGATGATGATGATATAGGTGTGATTATTATTACTCTCAGTATAGATCAAGGTATTCTTTTCAGAGATATATTTCAAGAAATATTGAATACAAATGAAATGCATGGCAGTTTGCTTGAACTTTAAAACAATACCATAATGCACTCCCACCCCTCTGCAAACACACACATATGCACAGATTGTATTTTAATTTTCATTTAACAAACACGAAGATGTATTTTCACACATAAATACCTGCTATAATGTATAAACACTCTGTAGCCTTCTGTCTCACTGTGACATCTTTATCATCTAACAGGCCCTTCAGACTTTCTGGAATTCCTGAGGTAAAATAAAAATATTATATCTTTGAGAAAATGACAATGATTTTGGACCAGTTTGAAGACTCATTGCTTACTTCTTTTAGTTTACGACAATGTGTGTACTTACTGTAGAACAAGAGTACTAGTTTATTTACATCAAGAGCATACCTTGTCTTAGAGCCTCTGCTATGTGTTCTGGGTCGTGTAAATAGTCACACAATGATCTGACAGCTCTTTGCCTTGTGAGTAAATTTAGGTCTATCAGCTCTCGGTTCTGAAAAATTAATAATAATAACAATGAAAATTAAACTTCTATGACATTTAGTTGAATAGAGTGAATTTTGTTTTCAAAAGGATGAAATCACCACCAGCCTATATGTTTGTGCTTGAGAAAGAGGAAGGGAGGATCAACTTCTTAAACTAAAGTAAAAAACAATCTTTATGTGCATGCATTTCATGCCATGTGTGTGTGTGCATGCGTGTGTGCATGTGTGTTAAAACACTGCTTGATTAAATAGTATTTGCTATAAAGTATATAGACTTACCAATCTTGGCAGTGCTCGATCTCCATAAGCCAGAGGAGCTCTTGTCACATCTATGTGTGGAGGCATTTTGGCTGATATGACAGTTTCTGCCATTGTTAGTTTTCACCCTGAAATAAGTTTTATCGTTCATGCAGTTTCATTTGCGAAAGGTAAATCATCAATACAGGCTAGTATATCACTGAGCATGGTATCAACTTATAAATACATGTAATGTCAGCTTATGACCTTATTGTGGAAAAGGGTCACTTATGAAAACTGTCAAAGCACATGTGGGAGTGTACAAACTGTGGAACATGTTCTGTGTGACTGTCTTGTCTGCTGGGCTTGAGAAAGAAATTTACTAACTTGGATTTTTAGATCAGTCACAGCTTTTTGGGCGAACAAATATATTAGCAATATATTTAAGCATGTTTATCTCTCGAATTCAATTTTTAATGCTTGACTTGCTGATATTGTGAAAAAGAAAAAAATCCTCTGAGACTCTTTATTTCTTGTACTTCTGCTAACAATTCAGAATAAAACATCAGCTGTCTTTACTGGGAAAACTATGAAGGATACAAAGACATTTATTGCAGGTGATTATGATTCTAGACACTCTGGCTCAATATCTGAAAATGCCCCAGCCTTTTATGTTAGAAGCAATATCATGCTATTTGAAGTTACCAGGTAAAGGCTAAAACTGCACTATGAAATTAAAATTTCCAGAATAATTATAACTATAAACAGAATAGTTTTAACTGGAACCATCTGAACAATGCTGCTGTACACGCAGACACTGTAGTGGACTTAAAGTCCAAGTTGATGTGATAAACTCTTTCTCTCCGTTATAATGACACCAATTTTGGTCCTTTCCGCGAAAACATACTGTGATAGTGTTATATTATCGGCTCCGGCCTTTCTAATCATTGGTGTTTTTCAGCTAGGTAAACAGCTCATTTGACATATTTAAAACAAAAAATTAACAATACCAACTTTCTGATTTTTTAAAAATATGTAAATGTGTGCAATCAAAAGTATAACTGTATGGAAACATACCTTTTAAACCCTAATTGATTGTCGAGAAAAGTATTCCTAGATTTTCTTTCCAGTGGTTGCTATATAAACTTCCTTAGTGCGCACGCGTGAAACCTCAAATATCACATATAATTTAGTTTTCGAGGAAAAGAAAATATTAGATTTAAATTTAACACTGTAAAACATAATATTAATTTTTAATTTGAATTAACATAATTTCTGAAAAATTATTTTAGCTATATAAAGGTAATAATTTAAATGTATCAAATAGCAAATGTTAAATAAACTAATAGCAAAAGTGCTGACCAACTCTTACGATGCGGGAACTTATGAATTGACATTTCTTACGCCGAAATTTTAAAAATGCTCTTTTTGGTCAATTTCTAAGATTTTTAAACTCTGATATTGAAGAAATTCTGGCTTTTCTACATTTAATTCATGCGGATCCAGGTTGTTTTTATGCGTTTTATTAAGATTTGATCACTCGACCCTCCACCCTTCCAAATTTTCAGTGTTAGTGACCCTGGTACAGTGGTGAGGGGATTAGTAGTGAGTACTTCAAGTATATTCCCAGTCACAGATTCCAGGATATTAAATACTTTTGTCTGGCGATGCAAACGGGATAAAAGTAAGTTATGCATGTTTAAAACTAAAAAGACTGTTCAAGTGTTTGCAATCGAATTTTATTCCATTTGAAAGTTGTATTCTGTGCAATTTATGTGTTCATATTGATTTCCCTGACTTCCCTTTTATGCATTTGTTCCATTTTTCTGTAGCCAGAAATATTCCTTGTACTTCTATGTTAAACAGGCACAAATTAATCATACATTCTCAATGTACTGGGGTATGTGTCATGTTAAATTAGGTACATCTGCCGAAATATGTTGAAGTACAGTATGTCTGATGTAATAAGAATAAAAAATGTAAATTTTGAGTTTGTTGTGATTATATTGTATAAATAGATACTAGTATAAAAATTTAACCAAATGGGGTACTATAAACAATAGGGTGGCATCAGTATGATTTTGTTACACATGCCAAATACTGGTACTTGTTCATGCCATTAGCCTGTTCCATAATAAAAAATACTATCATAATTTATACCATTCATAACATAGGCCAGAATTAATTATTTGATTTAAAAAAATGAAGTTATCCTATTTTATGAACCAAGCAGTGTGCTATTAAAAATTTGATTTGGCTTTGGCAATTAAGGAAATTATTTAATACTATAGGCTATGAATCGCCATGAAGAAACCAGCAAACACAAACATAAAAGAAGGAAAACAGGGGCAGAGAGGGACAGGATCAGGACCAGACTTCAAGCAAAGGTTTGGAAAAATATTGTAGCATTGTAATTTTAATTAACATCTGTATCAATATTATTCAGATTTATTTATTTTGAAATTCTCAAATTACTTGCCCAAATATTGTCTAATACATGGTTAATTATTAAATATAAATTATTTGTGAGTGTTTTGCAATTCATACCAGAGTGACAAGCTTGACTTTTTATTTTTCTTAATTTTAAGTTTTGAAAAATCTCTATCTTTATTTTCAGAGATCAAAAGCAAATGAGCATAAGAGACATACAGATTGTATTGATCCTTTGCTGGTAGGTATGAATAACCTTACAGATCCAATAAATGTACCCTAAATTTGAACTTGCTTTTTATATACATTTTATTTTCATGTATTTTGGAAATATTCTCCACCCCAAATAATTTGGTCTGAAATTATGCCTTTACAATGTTGTCAACCTTATCAAGAAAGAAAAGTTTGTGGCCATCCTGGTGTAGGTCATTGTAATGACTGTAAATGGGGAAGTGGCATTTCGAGCAGAAGAATCTCATCACCTTATCCATGTGCTCTGGGCAGAAAATCTTTTGCTGTTCTTGAATCTCTCTGTTTAGATGTTGATTAATGCCATATTTTCCTACTCTTTGACCACAGGGTACGNTTTGTGGCCATCCTGGTGTAGGTCATTGTAATGACTGTAAATGGGGAAGTGGCATTTCGAGCAGAAGAATCTCATCACCTTATCCATGTGCTCTGGGCAGAAAATCTTTTGCTGTTCTTGAATCTCTCTGTTTAGATGTTGATTAATGCCATATTTTCCTACTCTTTGACCACAGGGTACGCTAGTAGTCTGTTACAAAATTAATATTGTATTGGGCCCTGTGGGAATTGAGGTAATTACTACATACAGGGTAGTAACAGGAACCCTTTCCTTGCCAGAAATAAACTTTGTGTTGGTCATTGGATGCAATTTCACATCTAGGCATTGAGTAGTGCAGATTCCAATTTTATGTAATACAGTCAAGTCAAGCATGGCCTCCCATTTATTCCATATACCCAGCTGAGTGATCACACCCAATTATCCTCCTCTCCTGAGCCACCATTTAAGGGGCCGGGTAGATCCCAAATTGCACACAAGTTGATTGGTCAATTTTCCCACAGGGGCCTGTGCATTAATCTTGTATACAATTTTAAAGGTCCCTGTTATCAAATAATATTCAGTTAGAATCATTCACCCTCAGGTACAGCCCTACCGAAAGACATGTATATATATTTATATATATCAGAATGCCCATGCATGGCCCTGCCTGATGATAGTGCTATTAATCCCCAAAGCTTCAACATCTTCACTCTAATGGTCCATGAGAGATCCCCCCCCCCATTTTATGTCACAAAAATACAAGAATAATAATTACTAAATACCAAAAAACTATGTATAGATTTTTTAAAACTTACACAGCATAATATGACATTGAAAACAAATAACCCACATGAAGTACATGTAACTGCAACAAGCGTCCCACATGATATGTTAAACCTGCAAAATCTAAACAAACATTGAACCACTATGTAATTCATAACCTGATATATGGGTAGTGGGGTTGCAAAAGTCGGAACTTTCCAGAACTATTTAATGGGATTGGAGCATTGGCAATATGGAGGTTCACAAGCATTTAGCACTTTTGTTGTCTTTTCTTTATTGCTATCAATATGCGGAAAGTGCAAAGTTTTTGGGTATAACTTATCCATTGAAGGGACAATTGATAAAAACCCAAGCACTTCTCTTGGGCCTAGCTGATAGGGGACATGAAGTTTATCTCGTCATTGGAGAACATGCTGCTGCAAAACTGCCGGTGAATGTGGTAGACAGCAAGGTACAAATTCTGACTTTCAGAACTCGATCTGCAGATGCCATGACATTTGAAAAATCACAGGCACAAAAGAATGGGCTTATGGCTTTTTTTGATGACCCAGTTGAGAGAGTTATACCACGCAAACTGATGGAATTTACACAAAAGATGAGAGAAATGTTCAGTACCCAGTACACTGAAGACATGTTGAACGACACAAAATTCCACAAAAGAATAAAAGATTTAGAAATTGACATGGTAATTTTACACAACTGTTTTTTATTGTTCCCAACAGCATATCTGCTTCCTTATCAACATAATCTTCGCTACATCACTTCATCCCCTTTTACCCCGTTACCAATATCTGGGATGCCACTTCCTCCTTCCGTTATACCTCATCCAGTCAGCCCATTTTCAGATGAGATGACATTTCTTCAACGGACAGCAAATCTGCTGATATATAAGCTTACTGCATGGACATGGAATCCACCTAGAGTTCCTGACAAGTACTATACTACACATTTACCAGGAAAGGCAATGAAAAGTTCAAAAGAGTTGGTAGCTCTTTCTGAATTATTTGTATTAACAGGCAAGCACTCTGTTCTAGACTATCCTCAGCTGACTATGCCTAATGTCATTATTGCTGGGGGAGTGAACACCAGACCTGGAAAACCTCTGACCAGAGAACTGAAGTCTTTCATGGAATCCCATAGAGAAGGTGTGATTGTTGTTTCATTTGGGTCATGGGCTGCCTATTTTCCTACCCATATCACTAACAAAATGCTGGAAGTCTTTGCACAAGTCAAGCATGGAGTCATCTGGAAATTTACTGGCACCAAACCAAATCGGGTTCCTTCACATGTGAAACTTTTACCATGGATTCCACAGAATGATCTCTTGGCTCATCCCAATACAAAGCTGTTTATTAGCCACTGTGGCAATGGAGGGTCATATGAAGCTCTTTACCATGGCATTCCAATACTTGGGTTCCCCCTTTTCTTGGACCAGGTTTACAATGGCAACAGAGCCCGTAACAAGGGAATGGCGAAAATCATGAACATAGTAGATTTTACTTCTAACGAACTAGTGAACAATATCAGGGACATGATCGAGAACTCAACTTACCTGACTGCTGCAAAGAAGTTATCTGCCATCTATAGAGATCAGCCGATGACTTCACAACAACTGGCCGCCTCCTGGATTGAGCATGTCCTTAAACATGGCGGCTCATACCTTCGCTCTGCTGGAGAACAGTTGCCATGGTATCAGTACTACCTTGTTGATGTGGTCCTATTTCTACTGTGCATTGCTATTGTAATGGTGATACTTTGTATTGCTTGTTGTAAATTTTTATGTAAACTTTGCTGTAGTAAGAGAAAAGTGCTGGAAAAAATTAAAATAAGATGATTTATTGTAGTTAGAGATCTTGATATGGAAATAAAATTTACAACTTCACCTTATCTGTGTGATTAAATGCTGAAAGAAAATTACTCTTTTTTAATAAGGTATTTCTGTTAAATAAAAATTTTGAAAAAAACTGATATAAATTTTAAAAAATGGAATTTTAAGAAGACATGATGTAGCAGTAGTAGTAAATTTGAAGCATTTCATTTTTGAGAAGTTCACATGACAATTTTCAACAAATTATGATCTTTACATATATCAATAATACTAAAGAAAAAAACAAGTATTTGAAGTTTAAATTGCCCATTTGCCTTATGACTTTTCTTCAAAATCTGTATTGGACATCATATCTGTTATAAAAATGTAGTAATATAGCACATTAAAATTGGTGGTTATTATGCTGTCAAGCATGCTGTAATATTGCATCAAAATTGACCAAAAGAAAAGTAGTTTGGAATAAAATCTTTTTAACTATCTTTAGATTTCTGACTTTTTGATAGTCAAAAATATCATTGGCCTAACCCCCCCGACCCCATGACATATTTTCCAACTTTTTCTAAATGGCACTCTCATTTCTGATAAAGACAATAAAAATTTTGATACCCATTATCCTCAAACTTATAGGAATGAAGCACAACTTGTTTAAGCCTGTCTGATGAAATTTTCATCAATAGGCATTGAAATCCAACCAATTACATACAGTTAATAAAATCAGGCATCATAATCCCAGGGTTGATGTGCTGGTTACATTATCTGAATGTCCACAAAAGTAGCAAATAACTAAAAATTGGTGGTCATTTGCTCTTATGTAATATTATGTCAGAATTGACATGAAAAGCACATTTTGTGCACTTTCATTGTTAAACTGGGGTTTCATTATTTTTAGAGTGTTTTAATGTTACTGCTTCTATGAGTTAAATCTGTTATGGCTAAAGTGGATCTCTCTCTCTCTCTCTCTCTCTCTCTCTCTCTCTCTCATTAATTGCTGTTCTCAATATGCCTTGCCTTCCTTGTCTAGGATAATGCCAGTGTAATATGAAGTGTTGAATTTCACTGATTACAACTTAAAACAGGGAAGATGTGCTGAAACAGTAATGTGTATTGATTGTTGGTCAGATGACAACAATACTTGTCAACAGGATAAATTGTACGTCTTTTAGGCAGACCGCACCTGTTGAGGTGGAAATTGCTGTTTTATATTTAACTCCATCTTTAATTTCATGTACATCCTGTTTAATCTGTGCTGTGAATATCTTTGTTTATTGTCTGTATATGTGACATCTTTTATGTCTTGAGGATTTAAAATGTTAATAAAATCAATATCAATTATTGATTAAATTCCACTTTAAGCATGCCAAAAATGAGCGATCCACTACTGGAGCATTGACACAGAATAGACTGACAGTAAGTAGTTATATATTATAGTGAATAAGGTTATTATATTATAGTAAATATGTGAAGCTTTAGTGAGTAATGTGAGTAATGTGAAGGAGATAAATGTCATTGGATACTGATTTAATAATTTCAATTTTTATAATAATACTTTTTTAATAATAATTTTTGTCCTTATCACATTATTCCACATTATTTTATTTTGTGGTTACTTTTTCAGAACAGATTAGGCTTATTTGCTCATGGGAAAAAGTCTGGAAAAATACATAGAGGTGAGTCATTTCTAAAGAAAATAATAAGGATAAGTATTGTCTGTTGTTTTTTTTTTCTGAATGTTGCATTTTTGTTTAAGTGACCATGTTACAAAAAGTTTTGATTAATATTAAGATGTGAAAGAATTATAAAGGCATTGTGCCACACTAAGTCCTTTCTGAAAATAAGAATAGTGATATAGAACATAAGAAAAATTTATATCTATTATGTCTGTTTTTATTTGTAAGGTCCAATATACACCCCAGCAACTACCAAAGCTAAAGCAGATGCTGACTTGATGAAAATCTTGGACATTGCTGATGCTGAATTACAAAAACCATTGACACTTACATGTTTAAGAAAAAGGTATGTTCATGAAAAGAATTTTTATCAGTTTTGTGGTAACAAGATTTATGGATATGCTGCAGTGGTTTTGTTCTGTATTATACCCACTGCGCCCCTGTAAGAGGGTTCTAGTGGTCAATAATACTTTGATAAAAATTCCAATGAAAATAAAAACAATTCTGATAAAGGAGAAGTTGAATGACATAAGTTTTTTTCTTTGTTTTTGCCAAAATTTAAACTGCAGATCACAAATTATGTTATAGATAGCTTTCTTCCATTGTTGATTTTATTAACTGTACTTTTAAGTAAGTTAGAATTGTTTGTACTTCAATATTCAATTTTTAGCTACAAACCTCAGATATCTGTGGAATCTGTGAGAATCCCTGTATCCGAGAGTGACAGTAGGCAAGTACAGTGTCCGTTATTGATAAAATTATTATGATTAGTCTCACTGATAATTGTCTGTTATTTTTATTTATTTATTTATTTATTTATTTTCTTGATGAGTGGGAGTGGATCGCATTATCTTTTCAGTACCTTGGCCTACAAAATACACTCAAATACATTTCTGATAATTATATCATTATCACATTTTCTGTTTCCTGAACTAATTCCTACTGGTAAACTGGTTACTCTTTGTCTTGTTATCTGTTTTCCGTGAAGGGACTATATATATATATATATCTTGCATTCTTCTTTTCTCTATCCTGTCTCTACTTTCCCTGTCCTTGAAAAAGCAGTTCTGATGAAGTCTTTATACAGAGAAGAAGCAAAGAGAACACTTCACCAATATGTCAGGTATCATTTTCAAAGGTCAGAAATATAAATTTTAAAAAGTTGCTTAGTTTTCCTGGTACATGTTAATATAAATTGCAGACAGAGGTTCTATTTTCACATTACTAGTACTACTTTTTACAAGTCTTTGTCTAAGATGGACAGGTGCTTGCCTCCAGTGGAGAAATTTGATAGTTACAGTAAACCTATCTTGCTTAATACTTAACGTAAAGGTAAAAATATTGCAGTCTCCAGACACATTGTACTGCATGTCACACTGTAAGGTGGTTCTAAATTTTGAGGTATCCATAGTTAAGTAATCTGATTCTTTGTTTTCATGTCACCCAAAGTTTTAACAACAGCTACATGTAGAAATTATATTAAAAGCCAGTATATTAAAATGATATTAGATAATAATCTATTTTTATAACTTATTTGTAGTCTATACCAATTGATGAAATCAAATCTTTGGCAAAGCAATTGAAACCATCAAGGTGTTACCATGGAAGAAGTAAGTTATAATTAATAAATGTAACCATTTTTATTATTTATTTTAAGAGTTTATATTTGTTACTTATTTAAGAAGAAAGGTACTGCTATTGTAGTACACATCTTATGATAGAATTGTACAAAATTTGATGTCAAATATGACAGCAGATATAGTTTACCCGTCTTAGACCCCATTTCCAGAGATTAGATCGATCTACTTTAGATCGACCTAACTCCCTGGGGGTTCACGCTAAATAGCTGTCAGACGAGCAGACACGAAAGTTAATTACCCCCTTACAGCTTGTAGTAGGCGGGACGGACATTTAAGCCGGATTATCTGACAGTAATTCAGTGAGACTCCCCACGGGAATAGATCAATCTAAAAGCTCTGGGAATACAGCCTTAAAGAAAAATTTTCCACAAAGCTAGAAATTTATTTGTTATCTTTCTTTGCAGATTTATTGCAAGAAGTGAAAGCTGACCTGAACAAGCTTTTGAAACAGAAGTATGTTTTAGCATATTGATTGAACATGCACTGTGAATAAGAGTACAGAAGAAAATGCACACTTCCAATCATTTTCATTGTGAAAAAAATCCCAGATAAAAATGTTATTTGTATTTGCATCCATTGTCAACATAGGCTTTACTTTTACTTTTTTCTTTTTTTTTTTTTAATTTTATTTTTATTGCATAAGAAAATTGTCTCACAGTTAGGAATTATTATTATTATTATTATTATTATTATTATTATTATTATTTTAATCCACAGTGCACCTCCCAGTCCAGCAGCTGTGATATCAAACTCTCCTGCAGTGTGGGCATCTAGTCAGAGCAGCCAAGTCAGTAGTACAAAAGGTATTCGCATTTTAAAAATAAACTGAAAAATCTCTTTGCCATATCTTGTAAAATGTCTTTAGTAGTCGTAATTTGCAAAATATTTATAATTTTTACTGTCAGTGTGAGACTGTGGCAAAATAAGATTTATTGTTTCAAAAAAAATTATCTGTCTAATTATTTTATTGTAGGTGTTAACAAAGATGCATCTCTATTAGTAACCTCTAAAAATGATCAACATACACAGCTGTTCTCTAGGAGCCTACCAGGGCAAAATATTGACAGTGCAAACAATACATTAAAAAAGGACCTCTCTTTTCCCATAGATGGTGCTTTAGGTAATCTACAAGAAAAAGATACTTATGCTTTTATAAACCAAAGTTATGAGAGGCAGTTTGATCAGGGTTGAAGCTAAACACAATCCAAACATTGATAAGTCATTCCATGATACAAAACATTGTTAAAAACAAATTTAATTTTAAAATTCAAAAGCACTTCATTGTTTTTCATAGAATAATGATGTTTTTTAAATTAAGGTTTACCTTTGAAATTTTTATTGTGGCTGTGTAAAAGGTTATCACTTTTTCAACAGATATTGACAATGGTGAATCGCAAGAAAAAGATGCCTTGACCTTATTGATTGAAAGTGAAGAAAGAAGGCAAGCTCGAGACTCAATTAAACATAATGGCAAAACTGGTAAGTGGAAGAAGTATGCTCTTCACAATTTGTTTTTTTTTTTTTTTTTTTTTTTTTTTTTTTTTTTT